TTTCACCTATCGGTAAACTAGAAAAATTTTTCCCACTCAAATGATGTAATGTGTTTGAATTCTATAAAAAGAACTCGGTATTAGGATATAGTTTTAATTTTATATATATAAATAAACATGGTATTTGGTTACAACATTTTTAAAATGTACAATTACAGTTAGAACAATCGCATTTTATGAAATTTTTGTTACTTAACACCATCGTTATCTGGTTAGACAACCAAAAAAATTAAAAAAGTATTTCTTATTCTCGGGTAATTTAAATAATCCAGCTTTATTTACAGCTTGCTTTAAACAACGATAAGTTTTACTCGAAACACCATGTATTAAAGAACTTTTTGAATTTCCTTTCCTCTTGTACAATAATATGTAACTGTATTGGGGGGAAGATGATATCAGAGAATCTGAAAGAATTTAAATATAAAAATTATAATGTCCGAACGATATCACATCTATACCATTATCAGAAATAAATTTTTTGTCATAAAATGGTGAGAGAGATATTTTATTTGAAGATATGTTGTTACAACATGGTGTTTTCTTTTAATACCGTACTGCTGATGTCTCAATAGTTCGGTATTAAATATAACTTTTTTATATTTCTTGTGGTTAAAGGTTTTATAAAGAAATTCTTTAATTCCTTTAGTCATTTTTTTATTTTGATTATTGGAAACGTACGAATATATTTTCGGTTCTAATTCTATTCTAAGTTTAAATGCTGTCTGGTCTTTAAAATATTCTAGCTTATTTTTATTTGTTACATCAAATAATTCATGTGTGTTAGGGTAGTTGCTGAAATCAAAAATATCTGGAAATGATTTAAAGTCATTATATGAATTATTCGTATAAATTTGAAGCATTAGCGAATCAGTATCTGTATATAATAAATTCACATTTTTTGCATATTTATTTATAAATATTTTATAAAATGTTTGATACATATGCAATTTACTTAATTCTAATACACAAAAACCTATATAAATAGGTTTATCCAAACATAAGTTAGTTTTTTTCATTTTAAAAATCGTGAGATTATCATTAATAATTTGGATATTTTCGAGAGATGACTAAAATAAATATTTTCGACATTGACTTTTAGTCATAGCTGTTTATAAATTTAAACATTTGCATTCATTCTAACACGTTTTACCAAAGAAGAAGTTATTCATCAGTTCGAAAAAAATTTATGAAAATCATTCATTGACTTCTGACGGTTTTTTAATTAAAACCTACGTAATTTTTAAGCTAGGGCTCTTGGTTAAATGCAAGCACTCGATGAATTTTAGTTAATATTAAACCTTTTTCTGAATAAAATTTTAAATTTCTGTAACAAATTACATAATTTTGTTTATAAGACAAAGTCAGAATTAATTTCTTCTTATTATTATTTTTATATTTTAAATTTAATTTAGTTAATACCGATTTTTGATAATTTGATAATAAATCAAATGGAATATTTGCATGATCAAGAGCTAATAGCAGCTCATTATGGCGTTCATGAACATTTGGTAGATAATTTAAATCAACCTCTAAAATATAACTTATATTATTCCTATCAGGAATATTACTATTGTCTAAAGCACTTACCTCGTCCTCAGATCACCATCTGAAATTATTTACAGGTAGATAAGAACTCATCACAAATCCATAGAGATTATTAGCATCCATCCAAATAATATAGTTATGACATTGATTTTTATTGTAGGTTTTTGGGATTAGAGGGTTATTCGCTTTAGCAAATACCATAAAGTTAGACTGATTCCACCTCGGATACTGCGTTTGATGAAAAAATACATATTAATACCTTTAAATAATTCGAGTTGAATTTTTGTCATTTTTAATCCACAATTCTATGTTAAGTCTGGAGCTGTTATGAAATATACTGGATCTTAATTATAATATTTTAAACTTAATTTTGGAAAGTTTTGGAATATATCTGTATATATTGTCTGTAGTAATGTATTTATATACGTAATCGTTAAATAAATTATAAAATCACATATATTTTTCTGCTTTATATATTTTGTCGTGATTGTAAATTAGAATTCTGTTTATCACCGATTTATAATTATTACTAGAAGAAAAATATAAACTGAAAAGTTTAATTAATTTATCGACTGCAAAAGTGTCACGTAACCGACAATATCGATCTCGTTTGTACACTGCAGAGGAAATTAATCAAATTTAATAATGGTGTAACCATAACAACTGTAATATTTTTCAACATATTGTTAAATATTTCAATTAATAAATACACTTAATTTATGTAAACAGTTCTTCAATTTAACTCTCTTATTTTTTTACCTTATACCCTGTTGACTTTCATTTTGTTCATAAAATATACAAAAAAAAATCTTGGAATTATTGTATTTATACATTTACATATTTATTAAAACGATACAATTTTTATCATAAATGTTCATAATTAAAATATGCATTTTATTTTTAAGAATATTTATATACTTGCAACTTTACAATCGTCAGATTGAAATAAAGTAAATAGCATTTTATTATAAATCGAAAAAGTTATTGCGCATGAAATTTTTTCAAGCTGCAACGTTACGATTTTTAAACTTTATAGAAGATTATTTCTAACATATTATTTTAGCATAAAAATTTTAACATCTTTTTTAAAAAGTGGAAATAAAATCGTTACTTGAATTTATTAAATACAATTGTAATAATTGCAATTGGTATATTTGTAATAGCGTTGTAATCTATGTGTACTCTCATCAGCAACAATTGCTTCGATATGTTATGAAAAGTTTCTGACAGTTTCCTGTTTAGTTCAGAGAAAAAATAAATGCGAAAAATCGCTTTTTCACAACTGTCTTAATTTTGAAACTTTTTTTTCATTTTGCTAATTTTTTTCTTTTTATTTAAAATGTTTCCACTATATTATAAATTTTTGTTTCTTTTATATTCTGGAATTTATTACGTAAAAGCAAGTTAAAAACATACATTAATCGTTTGAGTATAACGCAGCTTATTACCTGCAAACTATCAAAAAATGCAACGTATTTTCATATGAATAAAATTGTAATAGAATCGAATGTTTGTGTAATTACAAATTAATACTTCAGGAAAATTCTATTATAAAATTATAATTTATTTCTTGCGAACTTTGTTGTTTAGAAATCGAAAATGCAATCTTTTTAAAAAATAGGGAATTGTATTTTCTGACATTTATAAGCTCTTAACTCGAAAAGATACTGAGAATATCAAAACGTCGTTTTAAGAAAAAATTATAGAAAAATAATTGTAATAAATAGCAATAAGATCTTTTAAAATAACGTAATTACTTTTAAATGGCAGTAAAAGAAAATCTCAATACTTTTTGCTAACTGTGTGTTATCTGTTGTTCAGAACAGTTTTAAGTATATTAAGTTTATGTTTTGAAGTTTGCATTTATTTAGCATGTACCTAAGTAAAAGTTTCTTAATTTTTCTACAATAAAAAAATATTTCTGCAAGGGGAGTTTTTGTTAACTTCTATAATGCTTACAGTGTAGACAACTTCATCAAATAATCTTTGATTTTTAGAGTTAACATTATTTTCAATATAACATAAATCTGTCATTGCGCGAATTACGTAGAATTAAACTAATAACACTTCTATAAAAAATTTCCCACTTTTTTGATTATCATTTTTTTTCTTAATACTATAAAAAAATCAGAACAGTAACCTATAAAACACCAATTCACACAAAAATAATTCTGCGAAAATTAAAAAGTATAGATTTATTTATAAATTAAATTCTAACCACGATGCACGCATAAAAATTAGAGCATGTTATTATGATTTTTACAATATAGAAACTGGATACGAAGCCTGTAGCGTAGTGCTTGCGTTTGTCAGGAATTAAAATAACTTTTGTTTGGCACTTGCATAGAACAGATCCGGAAGTAAGGTCCAATACCGTTAACCTCAAAAAAAAATTCATCGAGTAGTTCTTACTACATTGTTCATATCGTGTTTCAGTAGGAAGAAATTCTCATGAGAGTAAAACATATTATCCTTCATTTCCATAACAACAATGTGTAAACAATGGCTATTGTATATAACATTTACGTACCAAACAGGTAAACTGGTAGTGATTTGAAATGAACTTTGCAAAAGTGAAAGTCATTTTTCTGTTTGTTTCGTTTTCTTCGTGTTTTGATGATATTTTTTCAAACGAGAGTGAGTATGATGAGTTATATTTAATTAAACATATATTCATTTTGTTTAAATATTGCAACATATATTGTAAATATTGTCGGTTTCTAAATGTTTCTATTTGTTTAAGTGTGTTGTAATAATTATGGAAGGTTGAAAACTTGTTTTTATAAAAAATAAATAAGTTTGTAGTTTTCTTTTTCGTTTTCAAGTTTAAACAGTTGCAAATTAACGTGACAATAAAATTTGAACCTAATCTTATATTGTATTCAATTTTAATTTAATGGTGTATAAGCTATTGAGAGAACAGAGACTCCAACAAAACATTGTTTCATATTCAAAATAAAAATGTATAAACATCTGAAAATCTGTCTATAGAATAGTTTTGACATAAACTAATGTAAATTTATTTGTGCTTACACTCACGATTTTGACTTTTCCAGTGAAAAACAGAAAGAAAGTTTCCATTTCCTTTTTAGTGTATTTCTCTCAAACACAAGTCAAATTAAATAATTTTNAAATAGTTCAAATATTTAAGTGATATTACCTGTGATTTATGAAGTAATATTAACTTCTATCGTTTATCAGGATAGTGATTTTCTTGAAACCACAAAATTTAGAACGTAGATCTTTTTACTTTAAAGGGTAAATAAGATGGAAAGTAGTGTTTCAAGGACGAAAAGATTTGATAAATCAGTGAGGGCTCTTTTTGTTGTGACCTATTACTTTTATTCGAAATATTCCTCCAAATTTCCAATGCGTAACGAATGTCAGGCGGTTTTCGCAGAGAGACGTGTCAAAATCAAACATTTTGTGACTACTTTCGAAGAGAGTGATCTTACCTCCTTCTAACACAAAGAAAATTTCCATTCCCTTGTTGGTTTCTCTCAAAAACAGGTGAACTTTTAATAATTATTTGAAACCAATAACTTTACAAATTTATTAAAAGTAAAATCAAATTTTAAACATATCTGATTTTCATAATAATTTTCGTGATAATTAAACCGTAAGCTTTAGACATCAGTTATTTTCAATGTTGTTCCTCTATAAAATATAATAACATCAAACAGGTAAAGAATATTTCAACATTTTTAAAAAATACGGAAAGTTATCGCACTTTATTGAATTTTATAAAACGAAAAAGACGAAAATATGAAAAAAGAAGTCCACCCCTATAACACGGTTTATTTTTTCGTTTTATATGAATTCCATGTTGTACGAGTCACTTAGATTTTACAAATATGTGTGCCGGGCTGTGAACGGCTCGCGTATTTGTAAAATCTAAGTTACTCGTACAACATGGAATTCATATAAAACGTAAAAATCAACAGTGTTATAGGGGTCGACTGTATAATTGCAATTGATATATTGTAAACTTTTCCATTTTTTACATTAAATATTTTCAAAGGTAAATATTTTTATTGAAATTCAAAAATGTAAAATTACAATTTAATAATCTTCATACATTACTTTTGAGACAGAACAACGAAGACATAACCGAAGATTATTTTTCGCATTTTTCCTTTTACATTGTAGTAGTATAAGACCATAAATTATACCAATCGATTAATTGCATTTGTTCAGAAATAACATTTACAGTTTTTTACAAAAGATGTAACTGTTTCTACGATGTAATAGATTATGAGAAAGCATTTTAAAATACGAAATCAATTCTGTTTTCGATTGACAATAAAATCCTCCCAAATAATTCATATAAATATAAATTTATTAAAAATAGTTTAAAAGGCTCAACCTGACATATTGTAGAGTATGCAATTATGAATTGTAATTGTAAATGGTATTAGAAAAATTTACCGATTCACTCATATTAAATTTATTTGTCTGCATTTATTATAGTAATACTAATAATATAAGTATAGTAAATGCTCAATAAAACAAAAGTATATTGTCCGTAATAAAAAAGTTCGTTTCATCGCGATTATTTTTTCTTAAAGATCCCATTTAATCGAAATATCCACTGTGTTTTACTGTAAAAACTGATCTGAATAACGGGTAATATATATAAAATCGCATTTCACGGATGTTTTTTTCGGTTCTAACGCTAAATAAATGTATTTTTATTATGTTGTAGCGAATCTGTTACCGCGAATATAAAAAATTCCTGATAAACAGCAACAGAAAATTGTTTGTTTTTGTATGTCTCTATCGACATACAGAAATGAAAATATCTAAGCTTTATCTTCATTAAACTTGTAAAAACAATATTCCAAACTATTACTAAATATGAAATATAGATCTAAAAATATGTTATTTTTTTATAATTTATGGATTAGCTTTAAAGAAAAACTCAAAGAATAGCATCTCAAAGTAAAAATCAGAACTAAATTTGAACACATTTAGTGTTTACAAAGAAAAATAAAAGTAGACGTAATGTAAAAATAAACATTATTAATGGTGATAAATTTAATTTGGTTTTAATATGTTTTTATAAGCTATTGTGGTGTGAAATAAATTTCCAAAAATTCTTAGTCATTTGTTGTCAGTTTTGCTGAAGTTTATAAATGCAGCGAAATTCTACAATTAGAAATTCATTACTAAAAAGTAATCTGTAATAAACACTTTAAATAGGAGTATCCAACCATTCGTACGTTTGGAGAGTTGCAGGTGTACGGGTAAATACATTTACTATACATAATAATCAATAAAAAATAATAAATAAACGAAAGAATATATGATACCTTTACGTTTGTTTTTCAGAAACCATTATTTATGTCGTATAACGAAGCCGAAACACAAATAACGGGTGGAACGTTTTTTCCGCTTTTTAAAGTTATCCACGATAAATTAAAATTTAGGTAAGTTGAAATCTTAAGGCAATCTTAATAAAAAAAACTATTATATCTGCTCACAATACTCAACTCTTTAAAATTTACAGCTTATTTTTATAATTTGTATATATCATTTCTAAATTTACTTCATACAAAACTTGTTTTACTTAACTTTGTAAATAGCTTTTAAAGTGAAACAGATTTTCTTATCTGTTGTCTTTATTTTGAAAGCAAAGAAATGTAAATCATTATTTAATTCTCTTATTCGCGAATAAATATTTATCAACTCTTGCTCCTTTTTGCTCGTTTACTTACACTCGGACAGACTGGGTTCAATGTTTTGTGTAATTAAACTTTTAATTATTATATACAAATAAATATTTGGTATTTTTTATCATAACTACAGACACTTCCAATTTATACTTAGAAATGGATAAATTCAATTATTTTAAAAGCGAGAAAAAATTTATTTGAAAAACACAAGTATTTTTGTTTTTACTTGGGTCTGTCATTAATAAAAAAACGACAAAACACCATTTTAAAATGTATTTTTATTTAAGTAATATATTTATATATAATGATATATAATATATATATATTTATATTATGTAGCCCAAAATGTAACCAATTTCCCAAATGATACATTTAGGCAAACTAAAATAACAGTAGCAAAATTTGGCACAAAGTAGCCATATTTTGATAAGCCAAATAAATACAAAATAAAGCTAGAGTTGTGTCTCAAAAGATAATAATTCGACAGAAAGGAATAAAGGCTAAAAGGTAAAAGGTAATTAACCAATTCTGGCTGAATGCTTTGGGTATTTCAATTGTGAGTATATAGAGAACACTGAACATGAGAGATGCCAATCGATCATAAATTACTTGTAAAAATAAAAGTGTAACGTAAAAGAAATTACATAAACTAAACAAGTAAATGAACGCATGAATGTTGCATTCGACAGAAAAAAACATCACATAGCCTTCAGATAAATATTCAAAAGCACATCTACGGGAAGTAGGAGTTCAGAATGAATACAAAAATTAGTTAATACCTATGGTAGAAAGTGAACTGTCATAAAGAATATAAGAAAAAATGCAATAAATTGCTTTCGAATATAAACGTATTAAAGTTTTGATCGAAATAAATTAATATAATATAATATCTGAAATCAATGAAAGGAAATTTAATGTTTTATAAAATAAATACAAATATATTTTATAAAACGTTCAGTAGTTTCTGAAGAAAATGTGTAAACGAATTTAGTTATACCAAATGAAAATTAAGTATTTTGATGGTTTTTGTATTATGCTGTGACAAAAATTTATAAATGAAATTCTAATGCTATTAAACAGTCTAAAAAAACGTAAAAATCTGATTTATTTTCACGATCATTGCCAGTTTACTAAAATTTCAGTAATTTTCGTAAAAGACAACATTTGTGCAACACGAATTCGTTCTGAGATGGTTCGAAAATTAGGAAGATTCCCCATACAATATTGTTTCATAGTTTCGCTACAAAAATTTCGAGATTTTAGAAAAATTTTCAGCACAAAAGTTTAAAAACTTCAAGTGAGTTCTGATCTCTGATTACTTTGAATACTTACATTGTTGGCAATTTATAATTGAACCATTCATCAATTGCTTTATGACAGTCAACGGTTTTTTATCTGTGGCATCTCACAGACTTTATTCAACCAATCCATAACAGTCAAATTGCCATAACGCATCAATAATACTGTTTCCTATGTCCTGATTTCTCAATATATTTATTATCTAACAATATAAAACACCTAGAATCTGAAAATAATTTCGTTCGATGTGGAAAAACGAATTTTTATTTCTTCTGGTATATAATTGTTTCATTATATTTAATACTATATTTCTGATTTCGTAAATTATTTTTGTTATATGTCATTTGTGTGTGACATGTGCTAATCTATATTTTTTTCATTTTGTTCTGCTTTGCTGTCTGCCTTGTCGAAATTTTACTCTTTCATTTTTAACGCTTTCTTTCACTGTTTAACTATTAATTAATAATATAGATATCCTTGAAAAATATATATTGAAAAGTTTGTTGAAAATTTTCTTATTGTTTCTTAAACTGAAGAATATTAAGTATATATATCTAATTATGAAATTTAATTAGTTATTTTGTAGTGCATCCGATTCTTGATCATTTAGGATATATAAATCAAAATGGTACATGGATCGGAATTACAGGACAAGTTGCAAATTACGTAAGTAAAATCTAAATATAAGAATAAATAAATATCAAACTCAGCGTTCTTGAAACACATAATGAAACACTAAAATAATTAATTAAACACCTTCTATCACTGAGAAACATTTATTTAACTGTTTGTTTGTTGATTTATGGCAACGCAACACTTAGGTGTTCTGCCTAGGGGGATGCCTTCAGGGAGGTCTTTTAAGAAAAACAGGCCCCTATTTACGCGTTTCAAACGTGGAGAAAACCCGGAAAACTCCATGTGGCAAGCCCGTCCAAGCGAGGCGCGAACCCAGTGTTCAGGATTCTAAGACCGCTCAGCCGCTAACGTTTTCAGCCTCATAGAGTGTTCCATGAGGCAGAAAATGTTAATGTTTTGTTTAAAAAACTCGTAGATACTCGTATCTACCACTAGAGGGCCAGAAGCAGTTTAAAAGAATGGATAAAAATGATAGTGTGAAAAATTTCTTTGTGTTTTTAATTGTAAAAGTGTCAGAAACCTACAGAGAAAGGCTGACACTTGATCTTTTTTAACCATTGGGATTTTTTACCAATTTTTACCCGTGTTTTAAGAAGAGTTCTTCAAAGCAGAAAATTTTTTGTGACTGTTACTTCTACTGTTTTTGTGACTGTTACTAAAGCAGTGTAATATAGATAAAGATGGATTCAAAAGTTAATTTTGACTTTTTGTAAATAGTCCAAACTTCAAATTATGAAGAAATAAATCCTGAGTAATCAGAAAAATTGTAACATTTTTGAATTATAGAAGGTGTCTAATTCTTCAATAAGTGTTCTAAATACAAGTAAAAAAAGTGTAAACTACTGTAATAATTGCACAAATATTATATGGTGACTTTTACGAAAAAACATCTAAATATTTCGTCTTTTTATAACCAAGTACTTCGTTTATTGAATTATGTATTTATTAGAATAAAATAATAAATTACTGTAATAAACATTAAGTCGTAGAATTTTCCCGTTTATCGATAAAGTATTATTATAGTTTTTTAAATAAATCTTTCAGTTTGTATATATAATAATTACTAGATTATGTGTAAATCACATATCAACATATTGCTAATATATTACAATATTTCTTAAAAAATTATTATTAATTAATTTATTTTTTATTACACTAAGCATTAGCATAAATACACTCAAAAATTCATAAGCAACTTTATGTTTTCTATTCTCAGAAAACAAAGAAAAAATAAACTAATAAACTTTAATGTATTCAATAAAGCTGAATCATTTTGAATGAAACAATCTAAAATAAAATAGAATAGAATAAAATTGCCTACGAGTATACCAATAGAAATATATTGAATAAAAACTTTAAAAATATTTTTTTCCCGAGACACTGGTTAATCACCATTGCTCTAAACAATATTGTAAGATATATTAAAATTTGGTATTAAATTTACTAAAAGTTTGTTTTTCATAATATATTTTGTAAATTTAGGAAGCAGATGTGTCTTTCGTACCATTAGCTATAAGTTACGATCGCTTTTCTGCGATGCAGTTTACGCCTGCATTTACATTTCAACCAGTAATTTTTGTCATAAAAGCTCCAGATAAACTTTCTGATTGGAATTCCATAACGAAGCCTTTTACGTTAGAAGTAAGTCATTATAACACGTGTTAATTCATATTATGTAAGAGTTAAAATTGAATTTGTTATGTAATTAGATATGGATTGCTGTATTTTCAACTACATTTATATTTGGACTGTTCCTGCATTCAATTCTTCAAATAGACTTTATCGGTGAAGACTGTTGGACACGTCGTCAGATCTTTTGGAACTTATTTTGCACATTATTGGGTCAAGGTAAAATTTATTACTTTTTTTTACATTTTGTAGTTTATTAGTTTCATTTATTTTAATGTCAATTAGGATTTAGCATAAAAAAGTTAAAAGGTCTATCATCCAGAATAATGATAGGAATTTGGTGGTTATCGATTGTTGTCTTGATATCTGGTTACAGCGGAGCGTTAATGTCTTTTATGACGTGTCCTTTAACTGAGTCTTATCCAAGAGATTTTGAAGAACTCGCTATCTTCGTTCGCAATGGTGAGTATTCATGCGGAACCTATGATGGAATTGCTTCCTGGAAATATATGTTAGTAAGTATTTTCTAAAACTTCAAAAAATCTACTTTAGAATTTTTCAATATTAAACATAGTATTTTTATTCTAGGAATCAAAGTCAGAAAATATCAAAGTTTTAAAAAAAAACATTTTGTCCAATAATAACTTGATGACTGTTCCACAAGCGATAAAGAAATTGCAGAATGGACGATTTGCATACATATCGTCTCAATATCAGATAAATCAGCAAATCAATAAATTAGAAAAGAATAAATATATAATGTCTACAGATTCTCTATATACTTTCATCGCTGCTTATCCAATCCGAAGAAATTTTCCCTTTAAGAAGGACATAAGAAAAACGTAAGACAAATTTAGAATTATATAATACAATTCACATTCATCTTTGTATAAGTACAGATTTATTTTTAGAGTAAGTCGCTTGTTCGAAGCAGGAATTGTTGAGAAATTGTTACCGATAGAACATGAAGATTTTCATGAAGAATCTGAATTTCAACCGTTATCAGTCGAAGATATTAAAAGTCCTCTGTTATTTATGGTAATTGGATATCTGTTGTCGGTATTCGGCTTAGCAATCGAAATAATATACAAAAAAGTAACTAAAACTCTGACACGCAATAATCTTTGTTAATTTATAATTAACTAAAATTGGGTTATTAACTTAATATTATAGTTTTAGAACACAGGAAATAAAAAAATTATTCACTCTGTCACAGTGGATGATACGTTAACAAACAGTTCGGGTTACAAACAAATCGAATAACGAACACTTGCACGAAAGGTTTTTATGTGTGGATATTGAATACCTCACAGAACAAACACAAGAAGAAGCGACATAAATAATGAATACCGATTTGTTTTCATTTGTCTTTGGGCAACAATTTGAAACTTTTCCGTGCGCGGGAGACGTCGACATCGACGCTCAACCCGGTATATACTGCTCAGATAGTATTCATTCAAACATTGAAACTCTCCCTTGTAATTCCAGTTTTTTATTTTTATGACTAAAAGAATTTTTTATAGTATTCGCGAGACTGTCGAACGTCACTAGTTAAGTTTTGTGTCGGTTTTTATTTTCGAAAGGTTAGAATAATTGCAAAGGTAGAAAGAGTGAGCAAATGTCTGATATTGCTAGGCAGTAAGCCTCGAATTGTTCTACAGTAGGGCGAAGTTGAATCTTATTTAAGAAAAATACTGTATAATCAAAAAGACTCAAGCAGCTAAAGGAGTAACAAAAATCGCATCTTAGAAATAAAGGACATCGAAGAGCTCATATCGGAACCTGAAACGGATCTGACGACAAAAGAATGCCAAGAACTCTGGAAAAAAGAACACCTCGAAACTCATTGAGATATGTTCTCTTTCGAAAAAGAAAGATTAATGCCGATATCTGCTATTAAAAATCTTGTAATAAAGTGAAATATTAGAACAAAATTTTATAATATCATCAAAACCAGGATTAAATGTATTGGCTTGGGGATCTCTACATTACAATGCTGTTAATTACTTCTTAAATGTCTTGAAGAATAGAGGAAAGCAATTGACATTAGACAGATTTTTACTCCCCACGAACAGAAAAACATAACCAATTAAAATGCAAAACTATGTATATGTTACCGGCCAAACTACTTTGTCTTAGGCATACTAATTTAGAATGATTTCTTAAGTCACGCCTGGCCAAACAAATTGTTTCCTGGCCCACTTTGGTCATGCGTAACATTACAATTGGCCACAATTTAGGCAAACATGCTTTTAAAATAGTAAAACATAAAATGAATAAGATTTCATTGTTATACGAAGAGTTCATACTCGCACTCGTACATTATATAAATGACACATGCAAATTTTCATTTATTTTATTGTTTTGGTATACACAAAATAGAAAACGAAAGTTTTAATACATATATAATATCGCTTAGCGGGTCACACAATTTAATTAATGGGCCGCATGCGGTTGGCCAGGCCTGATTTAAGTATATTAATAGTTAAAATAAAATTAAAAAACAATTTATTCAAACATAGTCTACTTAATTATAAAAAACAGTATTGATTAGAAGTGACACAACACTTGTACAAAATTATAAAATAAAAATAAGCTAATCAGTACTTATCAGTTTGTATTTTTTTTATTAAGCCATGCACTTTTAAAAATAATTCACTTTCGAAAATATTTTAAAAAATTCAAACGAAATAATATAAATAACTTTTAAAGTCAAACTAAAATTAAAAATAAACTTGTTTGTGTTTCTTAGTGTAACATATAAAACATTTAATCTTTTATTTATTTTTACAGGGTGGGGTTGAACTGTACCTAGGTAACCCCAATGACAGCACTTCAGACTGTTCTTTCTACCAACGTACTCCTTCCGAAGAAGAGTCGCTGGCAGATCGCCCATTGTTTCACGTCACTAGTTATTGATTCACGGTAGTTCTTGAACAAAAGAAAATGAAATAGACGTCTACTAAAAATGTAGTTAACCTAACCAAACCAACCTAACCGAAGCACTGCCATTGGGGTTACCTAGGTACACTTTAGCCACCGGGTGTACTCTGGGGGCAGTTCGAATTACACAAAATCATTTATTCTACACTGGCAGCTATTTGTAGTACATAAATCAGTTCTGCCTAGTTTGGCCTAAAGTATTTAGGCCAAACTAGATTATCCTAGGCTAAACTAGTATATTCTAACATGCATAGGACGAACTAGTTATGCTTCAAATCAGGTTTAGCCAGTAACATGTATATACTATTACATATAAATAAACGTACTAAGTGTATATTTTTTATATTTTGGGATCTCCAAAACGAAATAATTAAACATTCATAATGTAACCATAATATAACCACATGATAACCATATGGTCACATTATGGGTGTTTGATACATATACAACCATATGGTAAATTGATAATAGGTTAACAAACAATTGAGATAGCAAACGAAGCATTGGAACAGATTATGTTCGTTAACAGATCACCCACTGTATTTACAGTCGACAGAGCTAGGAATTGTTCGAAAACATGTTCATTAAATTCTAATTATATTTATTAATATAATTTTTTACTAAGTTTGATATATGATTTATGATAACTATGATTTATATTTTCTCAACATATCTTAATCGCTTTAGTTTCCAACAATTTTTATATTAATGTAATTAAACATAAAAAATACTTAAAACTGAAAAAAAACGAAAGAAATGCGTTAATTTAAATAAAAAATCTTCAAATGTTATTTTCCTTTGTCTCCTCTGTCTGTGAAATTTGACACTGATGAGTCATTGTTTACACAGCTGGATGACCTTGAAAACATCTGGAGTTGGATTTCCCGGGACTTTCTCGTAGACGTCTCGGTAGGACAAGGGTTTAAAGTAGGATGATTACTAGCTGGCCGTATATTTTTAAATATTTTTTAAAAATTAAAATTTTTATTGCGATTTCGGTCCCCCGACTTAATTAAACGTATATATAATAAAATCTATTAATTAAGAACATTAAACTATTGGAGGTCGTTTTTGATATCAGAAAGTAGCTTTAAATAACTTTACCGAAGTAAAATCCGTGCACTGCAACTTTAGAACAATAAATGAAATTTGATATCAAAATCCCATTAAAATACAATTAAGCGTTAATTGTGCGTCATTAAAGGTAAATTAAAATCGCGATAAATATTTTTCGCGCGGGTAAAAATTTTTGAAAAAATTTGGAGACTTAAAAAACATTCCAAAATTTCAAAAAAAAAAAACAAATTGCGGGAACGAAAGGACCGAGTTTTCTATAACGCTATGTAACCTGACCGAGGTAACTCGGGCGATGAACTAAAGGTTAATTAAATTAACTCCAGTGTTTTTGTTGAAAAATTGTTATTTTACAAACAGTTTTCTTATTAGAGGATTTATATTATTAAATTCTGGTGAGGAAAGGTCAACAGGTACAGAAATAAAGTAGGTAGTGTGTATCTCTATTATAGTTAAACTTTATTACGATTTTATTTATTATTGGTGTATACAATGTCTATAAAAGCCTTTTTTACTATAAAAATTAGTCTTTTTTGCCAATTTATGATTAAAATGATATAAAAGGTTTTAAAAATATATTATAATATTAGATATCGCTACTAGAAGGTCAATTAAGCAACTCGTTGCAAAATTTTTTTAAATTTAAATTTAATATAAACACTAATAGCATATTTGAATTCACAGAAAACTAACATACAAAATTTCTATTTGTGGTTCCTGTTCTTACTACGTTTCAAATAGCTGCAAATACAATCACGATTATGTTAATACGTGAACTGTAACGATTTTTTCTATGTATTATATTCACAGTAAAATAAATAAAATGTTACTCGTATATGAAAAACAACTACTTTTAAATGGCATTAAGATACATAACATAAATAATCGGTTTCGTGTCTATTGTATCAATAAATTTCGTTGAACAACAAATACAAAATGATATTTTTATAATTAACAATAATTATATTTTTCAAATCAAAGTGACGTTGGGAAAAATTCTAATTGGAAACGATTCGTAACGGGTAAGATAATGAAAACAAAGGAAAATCATTTAATATGAAATTAACAAAAATATTTCATAAAAATTTTCCTATGGAGTTTGCAGAAATAATCACATAAAGTTTTCGAAAAAATATAAAGAATTATTTGCTAAATTGTAATATTTTCCTGGCTATTTTCGAGATTTCACGAACTTACATATTAATATGCAAGCTATATATACAATTGCAGTCTTAGTCATTGGAGACAATATTTCATAAAAACATTTTACATTTTAACTCGTAAGAAAATAAAGCATTCAGAAATCAATATATATATATATATATATTAATTAACTACAATACGGGATAAAAATGATAATCGAAAACTATTGTGAGAATACGGACGAGGGTCAAGGCCCTCTAATCGTCAGATCTGTTAGACCTGCTCACCTTGTCACTGGATGGCTTAATTTTTCATAACTCGACTGGTAAGTTTCTGTGTGGGTTGTGCATAAGGAATAAGCACTCTACTACGAAAGTCAGGAATATAAAAATCAACAATTTATCACAGAAGACCAAAATAACAAGGACAAATAATAGATTAACAACATATAAACATAGGTCTACTCTATAACTATAATCAGTATAAGAGAGAGAGTTTACAATATAATCATATTACCTCCTTTTAGGGCTAGGCCAGTATCTGGAGGAGATGTTTATATGGCTAGATCATAGAGGAACTGCCGGTCCTATGGCATGTTCCTTCTCTTCGTGAACTGCCTCTCTATGGCAAGGTCCTGGAGGAACTGCCTCGAGTGTTCGAAAACCAGCCTTTTTATTACCGATTATTTGACAACAATAATTCCTAGAAAGGTTGTGTCATTTGCACAGGTGGTGTGCAAAATTTTCAGATACTAGGTGTAGAGGAATGAAGCAAAACATCCTAAAATCTTGCTAAACTGTTGAGTGGCATAACAGTTTTTCAGGATGTTGAAGTTTATAACCATTTTTGGTTATATTAATTTTATTCAAAAACGTTAAAATTTAAGTTAACTTTTAAGTAAAAATTAAATAAGTTAATAAGGATGGATTTCATGTTAAAATAAAGTTAGATAGCATCCAGATTATCACACCATGAAATGCAACTACTTACTTGCAAATAAAACTCGGAAAGTAGAGGCAGAAAACCTGGAACTTCCAGAGCACCTAACTTGAAAACAAATTTTCAGAACTGGAATCGGAAAAAAAAACTAATCGAAAGTTGACTTCATGTAGAATCCAACAATGTATAATAATCCACACTGTACAAAGTAAAACCAAGGAAAAACTTCGCACAAGAAAAAACGGAAAACACGTGTTTTTTCCAGCCAAAAGCTACCTAACCCCGCTAATTAATGCGATATTAAAGGCACGTGACTTTATAAAAACCAACGTTAGTTTCTTTCAACTAGAAGTGAATTCAACAAAAACAGGTTTATCAAGATCTCTCAATAAATATACATTGCGATTAAAAGTACTTGTAAAAAAGAAATCTGTCACTCCGTGGACTAAGTCTACTTACATCAGATAGAACACTGAAACTGCATACATGTAAATCATTGTGTATAATTTATTATTTTGGCAATTACGATTTCGTTTTTTATATAAATGAATTTTAATCAGTATGTTGTTGGAATTAATCAGAATTTACTTCTACTTTACTAATTTTTCAAATAAAATAATTTTACAATTGCCAGGTATCGTAATACAATAATGGATATTAATTGCGTAAGAGAAAGGACATCAGTCTGTTTTCGAAAATTAGGAAGATTCATCGAATTTCATCCGTACTACTTTATTATTTTTCCAGTATTAGTCACAGCATCCTTCTCGGTTTTTATATTGTATTTAAATACTGTCGAGAGCTTAGCTAAACTGATAATTGCAGATTCGGGTAATGTCTTTTATATAAAGAAATTCATTGATGAAACCTTTCCTTTCAACACATCCAAATTTGTTGATCTAACGAGTTTTACAACAATACCAAACTGCTTATTTTTGTTTTTCGTAAAAAAGCAAGGAGGAAATATGCTCGAAAAGGATGTGCTTTTGGATATTATTCTGGCGGATAAATTAATTAAGAATATAACAATCAGCGAAGACTGAAAAGAAATTGGATATTCCGATCTTTGTGGACGTGTAGGGGAAAAGTGCTTTGAAAATCCGATTGTCGATATCTTACCAGAAATTAATAATATAGTGTCGAGAAAAAAGAAATTGAGGTATCCGTTCGATGTAGATCCATTGACTTACTATTATCAAATTAATTCTCTGAATTTTGGAGACGTAGTCGAAGATGAAAACGATTTGATTGAAACAGCAAATGCTATGAGATTACTTTATTTTACCGACGAAAGCGATAAGAATAAATTAAATTTCATAGAAAAATGGCGAACAGCCGTTTATGACCGTATACGTAATCATCATTTTAAACACGTTAATTGTTTCATTGATTATAATTGGTCAATAGACAAGCAAAGTTTTCAAGTAGTTGAAAATATTAAACCGATGATCGGTGCTCTGGTTGCGTTTATTTCAGTGTTCACCATTGTAACGTATATGAGCAACAATTGGGCGAAAAGTAAGCCTATTCTGGGTGTGGCAAGTGTGGTATCGGCTGCACTAGCAGTTGTCACTTCTTTTGGATTAATGTCGGTTCTCGGAATCCAAAGCTCAATTTGGAACATCACCATTCCTTTTTTAGTTCTCGGTAAGTTATTATTCATTATTCTATATTATTTTCTTGCGTTATAATTTCTTCATTTCTGTATGTTCTTCTCTGTTGCAGTGACCGAAATAGATGATGCTTTCGTCTTAATGGCGTGTTGGAGAATATCAAATTCTAAGCATGAAGTAGCCGAACGCATGGAACAAACATTCGCT